AGTTGGACTATAAAGAAAGCTGAGCGCTGAAGAATTGATGCTTTTGAACTGTGGTGTTGGAGAAGACTCTTGAGAGTCCCTTGGACTGCAAGGAGATCCAACCAGTCCATCTTAAAGGAGATCAGTCCTGGGTGTTCATTGGAAGGACTGATGCTGAAGCTGAAGCTCCAGTACTCTGACCACCTGATGCAAAGGTCCAGTGCACACAGGAGACTTCAAGCTCCGGTGTTAGGAATTTTATTCCTGTCTCAAAAACATAACCTCTGTTTTCTAGAATTTTCTTCATTCAGTTCTGGCATCTCTTAGCTGGTGAATCTGCCCTCAGCCCTTTGGTCAGCTCCAATTAGAACAGGTGCCCCTGCGAAGCCATCACCTCCTTGGGCACAGGGCTGGTCCCCAGTCACTGTCTGTCGCACAAGCATCCACCTGGCCTGACCGCCTCCGGCCCCTGCTGTCCGCCACTCTTCTTCAGGCTGTGCTGTGCTACGCTCGGGATCTGTTTCCCAACTAGGGACTGAACCCGCGCCCCTGCATCAGGAGCATGCAGTCTTAACCACCTGGCTGCCAGGGAAGTCTCATGACCCCTCCTTTCTTTTCCCCAATCCTGTTCCCTGCTTACAATCTTTCCTGACCCAGGTTCGATCCCTGGGTGGGGAGGATCCCCTGGAGGAGGGCAGGGCAACCCACTCCAGTCTTCTTGCCTGGAGAATCCCGTGGACGGGGGTGCCTGGTGGGCTACAGTCCACGGGGTCACACAGAGTCAGACACGACCGAGCAGAGCATAGACCCTTGCCCCTGACGCCCAGGGTGGCCTCTCTGATGGTCACAGTCTTCCGCCTCCTCCTTGATTTGAACCAGCCCTTTGATGAGGCCTGTATAAACCCGTCCTGCAGCTCCTTACCCAGGACAGGTCTGCACCATGCCGGCCCTGCTTCCTCCAGCTGAGAAGAGCAAGGCAGTTCAGGAAATTTTGCTTTTGAGTCAAGGAGAAAACCTTATTTTATACCAACTCTTTTTAAAATATGAATCTATTCTAAATGTGTCTTTTGGCTGCACAGGGGCAGCTCTCTGGTTACGGTGGACGGGCTTCTCCCGGCAGGGGCTTCTCTTTTCACAGAGCACAGGCTCTCGGGCACGAGGCCGTCGGCGGCTGTGGCGCGCAGGCTCCAAAGAGCAGGCTCACATGTCGTGGCTGACGGGCTTAGCTGCCCCACCACATGCAGGACATTCCTGGCCGAGAGCGCGAACCAGCGTACCCTATGTCACAAGGCAGACGCTTATCACTGGACCACCAGGGAAGCCCTAGATCAACTCTTGTAAATAACGTTTATAAGACCTGGTGGATTTCTTACCTGATCCTTCCTCAGTAAAGCAGGATGGTATGCATCTCAGAGTCTTCACTCCAAACATTCAGTTCAATTCAGTTCAGTGCAGTCGCTCGGTCATGTCCAACTCTTTGTGACCCCATGGACCGCAGCACGCCAGGCCTCCCTGTCCATCACCAACTCCCGGGGTTTAGTCAAACTCATGTCCACTGAGTCAGTGATGCCATCCAACCATCTCATCCTCTGCTGTCCCCTTCTCCTCCTGCCTTCAATCTTTCCCAGCATCAGGGTCTTTTCATATGAAGGTTGTACAGTTACTGTTCATCTGATAAGATGGTTCATCCATTAACATGACCAGACACTGGAATCCCTGGCTTGAGTCTCCTCTCTTGTCATTCGCTGTTCTCTGATCAGAGATAAGTGCTGTAAAAACAAGCCACAGGATCCATTTGCTGCAAGCTGTGAGGAGCAGAAGAGCTATTAGACTTTCTGTGCCATAACCACCAAATGGGTCCTAAAAGTGACGCAGCCCCTGGAAAGTGGCACAAGTATCTTGGCAAGTAAATCACTGCCTAGAAGTACCCAGGAAATTCGTTTTCAAGTCTCTGCTCTAGGGTTATCTGAAGAGCCTGGATGAAAAGACCCAGCATAAAATCAAAACCACAATGAGGTACCATTACATGCCAGTCAGGATGGCTGCTATCCAAAAGTCTACAAGCAATAAATGCTGGAGAGGGTGTGGAGAAAAGGGAACCCTCTTACACTGTTGGTGGGAATGCAAATTAGTACAGCCACTATGGAAAACAGTGTGGAGATTTCTTAAAAAGCTGGAAATAGAACTGCCATATGACCCAGCAATCCCACTTCTGGGCATACACACCAAGGAAACCAGATCTGAAAGAGACACGTGCACCCCAATGTTCATCGCAGCACTGTTTATAATAGCCAGGACATGGAAGCAACCTAGATGCCCATCAGCAGACGAATGGATGAGGAAGCTGTGGTACATATACACCATGGAATATTACTCAGCCATTAAAAAGAATTCATTTGAATCAGTTCTAATGAGATGGATGAAACTGGAGCCCATTATACAGAGCGAAGTAAGCCAGAAAGATAAAGACCATTACAGTATACTAACACATATATATGGAATTTAGAAAGATGGTAACGATAACCCTATATGCAAAACAGAAAAAGAGACTCAGATGTATAGAACAGACTTGTGGACTCTGGGAGAAGGCGAGGGTGGGATGTTTCAAGAGAACAGCATTGAAACATGTATATTATCTAGGGTGAAACAGATCACCAGCCCAGGTTGGATGCATGAGACAAGTGCTCGGGCCTGGTGCACTGGGAAGACCCAGAGGGATCGGGTGGAGAGGGAGGTGGGAGGGGGGATCGGGATGGGGAATACATGTAAATCCATGGCTGATTCATGTCAATGTATGACAAAAACCACTACAATATTGTAAAGTAATTAGCCTCCAACTAATAAAAATAAATGAAAAAAAAAAAAAGAAAGAAAAGACCCAGCATAGGTTGTAGTGAACGGAGGTTAAAGGTACCTGCTGCTGCTGCTGCTAAGTCACTTCAGTCGTGTCCGACCCTGCGTGACCCCATAGACGGCAGCCCACCAGGCTCCCCCATCCCTGGGATTCTCCAGGCAAGAACACTGGAGTGGGTTGCCATTTCTTCTCCAATGTGTGAAAGTGAAAAGTGAAAGTGAAAAGTGAAAGTGAAGTTGTGTCTGACTCTTAGCAACCCCATGGACCGCAGCCTACCAGGCTCCTCCATCCATGGGATTTTCCAGGCAAGAGTACTGGAGTGGGGTGCCATTGCCTTCTCCATAAAGGTACCTAGAAAGTCACAGCTCTTTCATCTCCAGCTTGGGTGACTTGTGGATATACTGTGGTCAGCTCCACCCTAGACCTACTCAGGGCCCTGCACAGCCTGCCTGGTGACCTCCAGACCCTGCAAGCAGGTGGCAACAGCCTGGGAGGGTGACCGAGGGAAGATTCAGGGATATGTCCCACCCTTAGTCTCCGAGACAGGTGGCTCACTTTGGACCCAGTTAGGAGAAGTGGTGAATTCCCTAACCAAATGTCAGAGTTGTGATTTCTTGCAGAGAGTGGACAGCAGCCCTGGATATTTGGGGAACTAATCACATCATTTCCCCTTATCTCTTCCAGGAGAGCAGCTTACTGCTACATGTTTGTTCCCAAGAGGTCAGTCCCCAAAATGCCCCACCTGGACTGCAGGAGACGGGGTCAAAAGATACTGCTGCCCCAGCTGCCAACTGGGGGTGACGTCAGCAGAGAAGCCGGGACGGCAGAGGGCTGCTGAGCTGACCTGCCGCCCCTTCCCTTGCAGACGCCGTGAAAGCAGCGTTGACAGCCTGAGACCTCCTGATGTGCCGGTTCACCTTAAGCTTGTCTTAGTAGCTATGATTTTAGATGGTCAGCTTTTATCCTGATCTTTAGCTTTCATCTTACATTTAATTTTTAAGCTTCATTATGAATATGAATGAACGCACTTACTTAAGGATTCACTTAGTGTCTATTTCTTTGTGTGTGACTTTTATCACAGCGATTGCAAACTCCTCTAGGAGGGTCATCTGCATAAATATTGCCTCTAGCATTTATATTGGGAAATACTCGATTGCTTTCTGCTTATTGTTAATTCAGGGAACCTGTTCATTCTCAAAATGTAAACTCTTTGTAATGGAATCAAATGACTCAGGTCTTCACCTCCAGCCAGGCTGCCTGGCCTTTCCCCACATCCCCAGACAGGTGTCAGGTGTCCGGAGCACAGCTCACTCACCTGTCCCGTTGTCTGAAAATGTGTTTCCTTCTTTCCCAGAGTCTCCCTGCTGACTCCGACCAATTACACTGCAAACATTCCTGTATTTGGGGATCCCAAATCCCCTACTGGAATCCATGAACCAGCCCTCCAAGGTCACACACCACACTTGGTACACGGGTGAATATTTTTCTGGGAATCACCCATGGTTTTCATTATATTCTCAAAGGGTTCATGACCCTCTGATCCACAAGGCTGGAAATGGCCTGTCATTTTAATCGATATTCTCAAGTTATACTTGCAACAGTCAAGCAGCCTCTGGGCTGACCCCCTGACCTCACTGTCCTTCCGGTCCGTTCTGCTCACTAACACCACTCCACTGACAGTCAGTGGAACGCGAGGGTCACCATCCTTGATTCTCTCCCATCCCCCAGCCCACAGGGGCCACTCAGCGCTTCCACCACACCCCTCTTATTCCTAACTAGCTGCTTCCCTACCTAGAACGTATCCCCTGTCTCTCCCCACACCCATTCCCACCCCACAATTCAAGGACCAGCCAAAGACACAACATGTGGGCCCTGGGGTCTACAGGACTGGAAACGTCTCCATGGAGTTGAAAACCTTGAAAAAGGAAGAGCTCTCCAAGGTTTCAACCTTGCGAATGAAAGAGCTCTCCAAGGTAAACACGAGCGAAAATAGCCAAGCGTTTAAGCTCAGTGTCTGCAGGACTCGGGGCCGGGCCCGGGCTCTGCAAAGAGCCCACCTGAACCCGTACAGAGCAAATGTGCAATGTTACATTCGACACAAGACATCTGATGGGACATGGGAGCTTCACACGGCTAAGATTTGCCTGCAAAATATTGTGAACAAAGTACTTTGCAAAAAGTACATGAATTATTTCCCTAGTCTTTGCCTCAGAAATTATAATTTAGAAAAGCACTGGAGTTGAAAGTGGTTTAAAGCAGTGAACAAAAAGTCAAATGACATCTTTAATAGGTGTCTATTAAATATACATCTTTCTGTTAACCTTTTTCAGGGATATGATGATAAAGTCAATCTACAGGAGAGAGAGGAAAAGTACACTTTGCGTTAATGATTAGTAACTCAGTATCACAGGCGTTTCCCTAATTACTGTTACCTATGCATCTCACCCCAGGCATCATTATTTAGGAAAGAATTCACGTCTTCCTAGCAACACATTCTGAACCATTACTGTTGGTCTCTAAGGAGAAACTGTGTCCGCAGTTAAGCTAGGTGTTTAATATTATGAGTCAATATTCATATTAAACTAGGGCCGCAGAGAGAACAGAAACGGGCCGGCGCACAGGCGAAGAGGCTGCTCCTGAGGCGGGCAGCGGGGAGCTGCCCCAGGAGGCGTCAGGGCCCCGGCAGAACGGGCAGGAAGCGGCGGCGCAGCAGGCGGGGCTGGGCCTCCTCAGGGCCCCGGGCGGTACCGCCTTCCACCGGCGCTCCGTCCGCATCCGCGGAGGACGCCGGGCGGAGCCGGGGCTGCGCGCGTCTGTCGGCTGCAGCTGACCGGGGCCCCGGCCTCGAGGCACAGAGCCACCCCGAGGCTGCTTCCCCTGATCACCGAGCGGCCACCAACCTGGCGGCAGGTTCGGGACTCCCCGCCCGCCCCCCAGGGCTTCGCTGCGCTCTTCGGACCGCCACGCACAGGAGCCCCTGGTTTTTATTTGTTTGTTTTTTTAGGCGTATTTGCTTGTTGACTGGGCGGCTCTGGGTCTTGGTTGCTGTGCGCAGGCTTGCACGGGCTTCTCACTGCGGCGTCTCCTCTGCTGTGGGCGCGGGCTCTAGTGTGGGGGAGCCGGCCGCTCGGGAAGTGAGAGTGTGTGCCTCAGGACTCCTGAGCACCTGGACCTTTGAGGATGATCAGGAAACCTGGCTCCAGTCGACCGGAAGTTTTCCTTTCACAAAGTAACCTCCTGCCCCTGCCAGACCTTTCCATTGCTTTCCTCTGGAAATGGTCTTGGATGCCCCTTGCCATCATCACCCGGCTGTGGGCACAGGGACTCTGTCTACTAGACTCCCTTGAAAATGCAGTGCGCCTGGCAAAGGCTGGGAGGAGGAGGCCGGAGTGACAGCAGTTTTTGATGCTGCCCTAAAGCAAGGCCCACAGCACAGAAAGCCGAACTCCGACAGCAGGTGTTTGCAGCAGTGTCAGCATTTACTGGTGGCAAGGGCTTCTCTGGTGGCTCAGTGGATAAAGAATCCACCTGCAAGGTAGGAGGCCCGGGTTTGATCCCTGGGTCGGGAAGATCCCCTGGAGAAGGAAATATCAACCTACTGCAGTATTCTTGTCCGGGAAATCCCACTGACAGCCCAGGGGGCCACACAGAGTCAGACACGACTGAGCGGCTAAAGCACCACCAAACAGGGGAGTAGGAAATCATCTCAGACCCACTCCGTCTTGGTCTCTGAGTCAGGACTGTGCTCTAGGGGAAGAGCAAAGAACCTGGGATTAATCATCTTCTTGCGCCATTTCTGTGACATTTCCTAATCGTCGTTTCGGGAGTCAGGATGTCTCTGTTTGCGATTCTCTGGCCAGCTGATCCATGGCTCAGGCATCTGTGAGCTCATCTTGCCCTAAGTCTTTCAGTTAGCAATGATCTGGGTAACAGCAATTTTACTATGTTAGTATTAGCGACAACAGCGATCTTCGTCATCTGACTCGGATGAAGTGTTCAGTTGGCAAAGGACTGAGGTCAGAGGGGACAGGAAAGGGACTGAGGTTTTGAATGGAGAGGTTAATCATAACTCCATAAGGGAGCTCAGTTTTATGGAACTCGGTTTCCCTGTCAGTGACCAAGTCTTTGACCTGAAAGCTGCCTCAGGTGCCGTGTCTTCATGAAGGCCTTTGGCTGGCTCACAAAAGCCTGGCAGTTCGTAGGCCTTGGAGAGTCCCCACCCTGCCCTGTTTCCACCAATTACAGCTCCCGAGGCCCTTTCCCCTCTCCTCTGGTTCAGGCAGGTGGCCCAGGTCATCAGCAACTGAAGCCGAGACATGGGCTGAGCTGACTCACTGAGGAACAGTTACTTCTTCCAGAGAAAACTCGCCATTCATTTAGACATTGGAGCAATTATTTGCTGGCTGACAGTCGTAATTACTTTTTACTGCAGGTAGGAAACCATTCCAGAAGCCAAGCTAATAGAATTACTGGTTTCTGAAGGGCTTTTGGAACAAGTAATTTTCAAATAGTCAGCACAGCATGTTCAGTGAACTTTCCACCCGGGATAAATTCCTGCCTCTGTGGCTTCTCACGGCAGGCAAGATGTGGGTTCCTGGATGGGACCCTTTGGAACAGCAGGACTAATTTTCTTCCAGGACCATTTGTTTGAAAATGGAACTCGAGCAAATCATACTTGGAAATATTTTATGTTTGTTCTATTTAGTCGCTAAGTCGTGTCTGACTCTTTGTGACCCCATGGACTGTAGCTTGCCAGGCTCCTCTGTCCATGGGATTTTCCAGGCAAGAATACTGGAGTGGTTTGCCATTTCCTTCTCCAGGGCATATTCCCAGCCCAGGGATCAAACCCAGGTCTCCTGCACAGGCAGGTAGGTTCTTTAACCTTAGTGCTGCCTAAGAAGCCCTGATATTTCATGTCGTTGTTCAGACGCTAAGTTGTATCCAACTTTTTTCGACCCCATGGACAGCAGCACACCAGGCTTTCCTGTCCTTCACTATCTCCTGGAGTTTGCTCAGACTTGTGTCCACTGAGTCGATGATGCCATCCAACTGTCTCATCCTCTGTCGCGCCCTTCTCCTCCTGCCCTCAGTCTTTCCCAGCATCAGGGTCTTCGCATCAGGTGACCAAAGTATTGGAGTGTCAGCCTCGCGTCAGGTCTTCCAGTGAATATTCAGGCTTGATTTCCTTTAGGATTATCTGGTTTGATCTCCTTGCAGTCCAAGGGACTCTCAATGGTCTTTTCCAGTGCGATTCGAAAGCATCGATTCTTCAGCGCTCAGCCTCTTCATGGTCCTATTTTCACATTCATACATGACTACTGGAAAAACCACAGGTTTGACTATATGGACCTTTGTCAGCAAAATGTTCTCTCTGCATTTTAGTATGCTGTCTAGGCTTGTCATAGCTTTCCTTCAGAGGAACAAGCATCTTTTAATTTCGTGGCTGCAGTCACCGTCTGCAGTGATTTTGGAGACCTAGAAAATAAAATCAGCCAGCACTAAATCATTCTTCTAATTTTTGATTACTCTGGGAGTTGGCATTAAATTATACCAACCAGCTAGTCGAGTTTTGCAGCAACAGCAGGGTAAATAATTTCCCTGGCGTGAGACCCCACAGTAACGTCTCCCTCCATGCCACCCATTTCCGAAGGGAAGTCAAGGGAAAAACAGACCCAGAGGGCCTTTTAGTCAAGGTTTCTAGCAAGAGTACCAACAACTGTAGACAATGATTTTGCAACAAGATTCTCTGTTGATAAGAAAAAGTCCCTTCGAATGCTTGTCAGTGTTGGACCCTGTAAACTGATCTGACATTTAACCGAGTTTAGAAAGCACATCCATGGGATGTTGGGACAACAGTTTCTTTTACTGAGAAAACCTTAGAGGTATTTTTTGCTGCTGTTGTTGTTATGATTACGTAACCATTTCCACTTCCTGCTTTGCCATCCGCTGATTAGTTGGGC